TGAGGAGGTGGTGGTGGTGGTGTAGATCTGCAGTGGGCAGGAAGGAAGGGTTAACCAGCTGTCAGCAGTTAAAAGATATGGTAAGTGTATGATTTTCAGCATGATGCTATGAAAATCAGTCAGCTTTCAGATAGGTGACTTCTCYGGGCAAAGCCTGGCTGTGGAGTGGGCAGTGAGCAGGCAGGGCTGCATCCATCCTCACCCTGCAACCCACGGGAGACACCCACCAGCTTCTGAGAACAGCCCCTCCTCTGCTGGAAATGGTGTGTGATGGGTTAGGGAGAGCTCTGAAATCCTTTAGAAAGTCTTGGTTAAGCTGTGCTYGCTGCAGTCCACGCACTTGATAGCTCTGTCCCTCCCTGGGCTGTTGTGGGCTGGCTGATGCTGCCAGAGAAATTTTGAGCCATCTGGTGGCTCATCCTTCYCTTCTGCTGGCACACCTGAGTTGTGTTTGCTGTCTGCCCTACCAACAGTGCTGCTGCTGAGGGACCTGCAGKAGCACAGCTCCTGAATTGCTTTTTGGTGTGAATTTGATGTATTAGCCACAGTTGCCAATAAAAAGGTTTCAGGTAGTTTAAATGCTTTGAGTGTATTGGCCAGTAATTTTGTATGCACCTGCCCCTCAGCCTTAAAATGCTGCACCTTTTCTGCAATTCAACAGTTTGTGGCCATTTTCTTTGCATAGTTCATGAGCAGTCAGTAATACACATTTTGGGCATTTGGGAGTTGAAGGATGGGCCAAAGCTCCCACATTCATCTCTTGTGCACAGGAAACTTGACAAGAAATCTCCCCAGGTCTGGGTATGGAGTGCTTAGCACCCATGTCAGTATCTATCTATATCTATCTATCTATCTATCTATCTATCTATCTATCTATCTATCTATCTATCTATCTATCTATCTATAAATATATATAAATTAAAAAGAATACATGGATAACATGTATAAATTAAATATATATATATATATCAAAATAAATTGGATAGTTAGGTAGATAGAGAAAAGTGTGTAACAGTGTGGCACAAGAAGCCCATTAGCAGATGTACCTACAGATGTAGCAGGTGACCTTGGCCTGAGAGGACCTACAGCCCCAACATTCCTGGAAAGAGCAGGATTCCTGCTCGAGTTCCAATTTGCCCTGGCCTGTGGATATCCCCAAGCCCCATTCCTGTAAATTTGTGTGAAAGTCAGTGGCCTGATTTCTGTGCCCTGTCTGTGCTTCCTTTGGAGGCCAGGTTGGAAGGGAAGGTTTTCAACAATCTTAGAATTGACCCCTGTGTCCTGCTTGTGGACTTGGATCTTACACACAGATGGCTCTAGACATACAAAGAGCTGTCCTTTSTGCTTCCTCCCTTTCTCTTCTCTTCCTGTTTTCCTGTTTGCAGTTCCATTCTCTGCATGCCAGACCTGGGGTGCTGAAGCCAGTTAGCAGTGGAAGGTATAATAAATGCACATAAATTCAAATTCAGGTGGTGTTTTTTATACCTTCTGGTTTAAATGTGGRGTGATCACCTGAGGCAGTTAGAAGTTCTTGATTGTGTTGTGCCTTTCTGGACTAAATCCTGGGTACAGTCAAAGCCTGGGAAGGAATGCTGTGGTCTGTTTTGGCTGAGGCAGTTGGATCAGATGACACAGGACTTGTATAGAAAGCAAAACTCTCAAATGGATGTGGATCATCAATTATTGCATCTTTGGTGGCACAGTCACTTTCTCTGGATTGCTGAGTAAAAATTGCTGTGCTTTCCCCAATGGAACCAACCCTTATTTTCTCCAGAGGGAGCCATGATGGTTTTACCTGTAGCAAAACTCTCATGCTTTAATCTGCAATCAGTGGAAATTTAATAATAAAGTAACCACATTGGTGGGTTTATTTGCAGACAAAATAAATGCAACAGTTTTGCACATCTTCACGTGTGGTGCTGTCAGCTTAGTTTGCAGGAGTCAGAGTGAGGGGTGGAAGGACACAAGGGTATAATTTTACTGTGACATCTATAACTGCAGATGCTGCAGGTTCCTCTTCCTTGGATTTGGCTTGACCTGATGTATTTTTGTCTCAATGCTGCACTTGGAAGATGCTCTGGGCCGTGAGTCTGTGTTGATGTTTCAGTCCTGTATCAGAAACTATTAGCTCAATTTCTATTATTATTTCTTAGTACATTATGAATGTCTCTTTCCTGTGAGCTCTTGGGATGCTTTATCTGTGTTCTCCCTTGCACAGATTTTAGTTTTCTGTGCCAGTTGGCTTGTGCATCGTGAGCATATTCTAACGAGGGTGCTCTGGGGGTGACTTTGTTAATTAGCCCAGGATCCTGGTAGAGRGAAGGGACCTATGCTAATGAGGTATTAGCAGTTAGTCTGAGGAGGCTCCATCCCACTCAGCTGAAGCAAAGTTTTGGGAGGAGGAGGAGGTTCTTGAGGTTAGTGGAGCTGCTTTTTTTTTTTTT